CCTCTCTCTCTCTCTCTCTCTCTCTCTTTCTCTCCAGCCATTTTACAGGCCCCTGCGCTTTTCTGTTTCCCCCTAGTCTTTTTCTGACGTCTCTATTTCACCCTTCTGCTTTCCGTTTCTTCCTGCTTCTTCATCCTTTGTGTGAGGTATTATCAAACAATTTTTGTCCTTCATTTCTTGTCTCTTTATCTATCATCCGAAAGAAAAAATAAAAGTATCTCATCTATTTATCCTACGTGTGAGATATTTATTTTACATCTCATGTAACTTCATCATCATCATCCGGTGCCTTGCCGACTGGCGTGGGCGATCATGGACCTCCACTACTCCACTTCACTCTGTCTTGAGCTGCAGCAATGGTGTCTGTTGTTCTTGCTGCTCCTAACCATGTCGTCATCTTGTCCAGTATCTTTTCCCTCTGTCTGCCTCTGCCTCTTATTCCTTCAAACTTGCCTGTTGTTACAATATTCTCTAATGCTTCTTTCCGCATTGTATGTCCGAAGAAATTTGCCTGTCGCTTTCTTATTTTCGTCATAAGTTGTCTTCTATAATTTGCTTCAATCACGTAACTTTGTAACATAAGATAATTAAATTAGAAACCCTTTCCCCCCGCCAAACAGCCGTGGTCCAGGCGGAGCCAAAAGTCCACTCCATTCCCATCCAAGTGGTCGTCGTGTCCAGCGTAGTCCCCGCCTGTGCCATTGCCGCGCTTTTTGCCCTGTTCCTCTGGAGGAGACAGTGCCGGAAACAGACGGCGATATCACGTGACCGGACCGGACTGAATTTGGTGAGTGTCAACTGGTCGATTTTAAGGACAAGCGGACTAACCAAGATTTCGGGGGTTTCCCGAAATCTTGACCTTTTTAACAACGTTAATGTACCAATAGTATGTACATTCTCTGACTGTTTTCAACTTTTAGACTTCAAATTTTGACAAAATATTTTTTAGCACATGCGACAGATATCACAGAGTAAGATACTGTACTTTGTTTTACTTTTTTTAAAATGGCTTTGTACGTAAATTTAACAGCTGGCTGCAGATGGTTGGTGTGTGCTCTGGTGTTGCTTTCTCCTCCTATACTGTCAAACAACTATCGTCCTTATTATATTTTTTTGCGGTTTTTTTCAATATTGTGACACCTGTAATTTTGGCACTTAAATGTCCTTATTGTGTTGTAAGTGCCGTAAAACGCTTACTAAAACTTTTTTTTAAATAGAGAAAGAACTGTAATAACTTACCTG